TATCCGGAAGTTTTGGATTTCTGTTACTATATAACGTAGAACTAACGCTGTTACTTAACAGCTATTTGACTACTTTTACTGCTTGTTAGTTTATCCTCTCTCTCTCTCTCTCTCTCTCTCTAACTTTTCCTAAGAAATTTTTTATCTTCATTTCTCTTTCATCTTTCATCTTTCATCTCTCAAATGACAATACGTTTAGCGTGTACCTTACTTTGAACGTGCTCAGCGTACGATTTCCTCTATGATAGAATTGCGGCAGAAGTGCCACGTACCCTGTACCCTAAAATTTTCGCAGAAAAAGGGAAATTTTTATATTTGATAGAGCTGATTGGGTAGTTTTATGGTCTTGGGGCGATTGCAGACTAACACATGTATAACATGTCGCAAAACTTTTTGAATATTGCAGCAGACAACATATTCTATAGAAACACGTGCGAATTTTTCCGATAATTTAAGTTAAATAATTTTTATTGATAAGGGATTGCTTTATTTTTATTCTCTACTTGTAGATATGTAGATTAAATGTGTATACATATATATGAAACCATATATATATATATATATATGTTTTAGATTGATATTAACTTTAGCTGCACTCTAAACTATATATGCCTAGCGGCCATTTTTTGAATATTTTTTCAAAATATTTTTTCTTTTTTAGTGCATTAATTTTATAGTTAATAATCCGGCCGAGTGCTGTGCTACAGCCACAGAAACGCTAATTCGCCAATTTGAAGAAAAGAATGAATTGAATTCCCAGCGCTTGTGAAAGAATTCGATCTCTTTCCTTAAGGCATTACTATTGTAAGGCTTATGGTGTTTTTTTGAAAAGGTATTACGAGTCGCTGAAACCTTATCGTTTGCCTAATAAAATAGAAGAAGAAGAGCCAAATAATTTTCTAAAGAAGCCGTTGAATTATCGGGCCGTGCCTTCTAAGAAATTCAATTTAATTAACACTTAACTGACACTAAAACTTCTTGTAAGCTTTCAAGAGAAACGACGCTTCTTAGTGCTAGGAAATTATACGATAGCTTACGAAGACTGAAAAGCAAGACTTTTAATAATTGTATGACTTAATGTAAAGTACATTGTTTCATTCATATATGGGAAAGATTTGATAGATGTGTAAATACAATTTAGAATATTTCAAGGCAGCGAATATGTAGGATTGTTGGAAATTATTATTACATTGAATTGTAGCAATAAAATAGAAGCAATCGATATAACATTTGTATGAAAGAGATTTGCTCATCTTATCTCAAGTGTTGAAGAAGAAAGTCATTAATTGCGAAAATTGCCGCGAAACTTCTCCTCGATCCAATACATCATTCAATAGGTCTATGTAATGTTAATACAGTGTATGGTCATAGTTAGCTGAGTACTTTTATAAAAGAATGTTGCGGATGGAAGAATGGAAGTATTGCGTTTTTGTTAAAACACCTTAAAGGAAAGTTACGTTGAAACGATACGAGTTTAGACATATTGTCTCAAACAAATTGTCTACAAAACCAGCAGTATTTCGTATTTGTAAACCAATATTTCTCATCTATATAAAAACCAGTATTTCTTATCTATATATGTTACAAGTATATTTCATCGAGTAAGTTATCGTAATCTTGTGTTTCTTTGCCACACTTTTCTTCCTCTTCTCCCCATCATCATACTAATCGTTTGTAAATATTTTTTTTCTTACGTATAAACGAAATCATACCAAAAGAGCTTGGCCTGCTTTCCTGCATTTAAAAAGTAATTCAAAGTTAAAGCAAAAAAAAAAAAACATTAAACCGACTATATATTCACTCTCAACGTGTTAACCAAATTGCACGAATTGCACAAATTGCTTGCATTGTTATTGTAAAATCTTGTTTGCTCTCAGAGAAAATTTCTTTGATTATTTGACAGCATTACGGGGATTGCTACGATTGTTATTGTAAAATTGTTGCGTGTATGAAGAAGGGGGATAGAGTCGCATGAATTTAAGTCCAACATTTCTAGTTTTATTTAGTGTAATGAACACAAAAGTAAATTTTACTCTCCGAAAACATTTATACTCCCAAAGTAACATTCATAAGAACACAACACAGCTTTGTTGCGCCTCGAAAAGGCAACATTTTAAATAATAATAAAACAAAATAAACATACACATATACATGCATATATGCGTGCAACATAACATGCATACATATTCTGATGTCTTTTCTTTAAAAATTAAATATAAAAATGAGATGTATATAAAAAAAAAAAAAATATATATATATATATATATATATATATGTATACATAAAATATATACATAATTTTATATATAATTTTTTCCTGAGTGGCCGAATAGACAAAGGATCTCGACTAACAGTTCAATGGTCGTCGGTTCAAAACCGAAGGGCCATAGAGTTTTCAATAAAGCCGATAGCGTTAGAATGCTTGTGCTATACGATGTTAATCTTAGAATTTATTTATAATAATAATAATAATTTTTAAAGTTAGTAATAAAATTATAATAATTCAATCCTAATTTGTATACTTTTCGACGTTGATAATAATGATGGTGTAATTTTATTTTATTTATATAATAGAGGACCTTCCGCACATACATACACACGGCGGGGGTAAATTAAAAAAGAATTACGTTTTCGCTATCATTATGCATATTAACAAAAAAGAACGTAAAGCCTATTCTCTCTCTCTCACACACACACACACACACACACACACACACTAAACTCACTAAAATCGTAAATTCATTTAAAACAGCGATGGACCTTCTATGAGCATATAATTGCACAGTATCTCGCCGACATTTCTCCATTTAACTTAGTATCTTTTAAACCCAAAAGCCTAACGGACATATTGAACAGATTTAAAATCCTTTTCTATGCAGCACACTACGCACACTACTAACTTCTAAATCCCTATTATTCAGAGTATAGAGCTGTTAGAGTAGAGTACAACATTTATTATTGTTATTACTATATAATTAATTTAGCCAGAGAAGTAAATTCAAAGGCTAAATAAAGTCTTAAAGGCATTAAGCTTCTGCGTGTTGTTGGCTTTATTGAAAACTGAACACCGCATCACCTCTTCTGGGATTTTTGAACCCACTATCATTGAGTTGTTGCTCGAGATCCTTAGCGCATGCGGTCATTCAGGCGACATTTAATTATAAACTTTTATTATTAAATTCTTCTCAATACGTGCAAGCATAGAAATCAGATCGAATTCGATGCTTCATCAAACAAAACAGTTTTCCGTTTAGCATTGTCGAATTATTCAATAATTGCTGACACTGATCACGGAATGCTCCAAATTGCATTTTTAATATTCATTTATTTTGTTGTTTGATTTGCAGAAAATTCCTGCCCAGGCTCATGAAACACAGCTTACGGCTGCTCCATTGTCATGCCCTTGTAGCCCAATTGACGGTTTTGGTTTCAACGTCTTAAACGTGAAGAGTTTGATGTCAATGACATAGAACAGCCTGAAAGACCGAAAAAGTTCAAACACAATGAACTGGAGGAGTTATTGCATGAAAATCCGGCTGAAACTCTCAAAAGACTTTCGAACAACTTGGTAGTTGAAGACTCAGTTAATTCTAGATGTTTACATGCGATGGGAAGGATTCCAAAGCAGGTAAAATGGCTAGACACACACACACACACACACACAACATTTCGAACCCTCTCAATGCTTGGCAAATGCAAAAATCATGCTTCCGTTCAAGAGAGCCATCCGCACTGACACCGAAGTGGAAAAATTTTACTGTACTGCCCATCAGCAAGGTGTAGTGCATTACAAGCTGTTTAAATTGAAAGAAACTCTTATTGCAGATGTGTACCGACGCCAGTTAAACGACATATTGTTGCAAAAAAGATCACCAATAGCGGTTAACAGACCTGCATGATGCTGCTTGGCTACACGTTGTAAGAGTTGTCAAGGATCCACTGTTGCAGCTTGAATGGGAAGTTCCGCCGCACCTAGCGTACTCGCCAGAATTAGCGCCTTTTCATTAGATAGCTGCAGCATGGCTTGGCTGGCAGTGTGGCTTCGAAATGCTGAAGCCCTGAAGAAGTGCGAAATTGGATCGAAACACAATCGTTGCTGTCGTTCTTTCGCAGGATGGGAAGAAATTGTAGAAAGTGATGGGAAATATTTCCATTAATGTACATTATACCAATTTGTTTAAATAAATGCCTTTTTCAAGTGAAAAAAATTATCAAAATACATGCAATCATCTATTAGATCGAAAACTTAATAGAATCTTGTTTGCTAATTTGGTTTTTTAGTGCCGCCTTAGGTCGTCGCCGCACGGATTATTTGGAGGTTTGCTGAGATCGGCAAGTCATGTAATAATGTCATAAAATTCTAAAATTTCAAAACGTGCTCATTAATTATTCCGAAATTTGAATACAAATACGTTTTGTTCCTTTTGTTCCTTTTCTTGCGGTTAATCATTTAAAAGAAAAATTAATTTGTTAATGTAATTGAGAGGATCTATAAAGTTTTATTTCTGGTTCTTGGTCATGAGTTATCCGTTGTGTGTGTCAAAATAAAATTCATTGTACACATATAAAGATAGACGAGCATATATATATATAGATTGCGTTGCTTTATGCGTGAATGCAAAATTTTTGGCAGATTTCAAGCATAATATGATTTTAAAGTGTTAACTTTTCTTTTTTATTTGAAAAAAACAAAAACAACTATACTAAGCTATATTGCTATGGGTTCCGCTTTATTAATTGTATTTGAGCTAAAAAAAAAAAAAAAAAAAAAGCTAGAAAAAAAAGCTAGAAAAAAAAGTCATTTTTGCATTAACGCTACCCATCAAACTCTAGCCATGTGATTTTGCTTTAGCAATCGCGCCAACGCACGCAAGCTATGTGTTGTACGCTTTACGGTATTGCTGTTGCATTGTTATTGTAAAATTTTGTTTCCTCTAGAGAAGATTTCTTTCATTTTCATTTAGTCAATTTTGTCTCCTTACATGGAAAGGATGTAAAGGATGCGGAAATTTTGTGCGTTGTGTGTGTATAAACAATTACGTAAATAAGAGTAAAACATAAGATGGGAAAAAAAAAGAACTTGAAAACTGTTAACATGTAATAAATATATATTTTTTTTGTTTTTTTTTTTTTTTGATATTTTACAATTCAAATTTATTTAACATAATATAATTAATTAATTGTTATTATCATTAACGTAAGCAATTTGTGCGTCGGCTTAAATTTTTTGTTTAGTGTGCACGTAAAGTAAGTTAAAGAAAAACAAACATTACCGACTATCGAGGATTTTTACGAAAGGCGAATGCATCAGGATTGCACGCTAGGCTTTTGCTTTTAAACGATTTCAATAAGGATTACAATCCTTAGTTAACAATGTCTTTGCACTTGTGTAAAGCCGATTTTATTAATAATATAGGACCTTGTAACTGTTACCCCAAATTGTTTCTCAAATGCGAATCGTTTATTATTTACATAAGACAATTAGAAATTTAATAAGAAGAATGCAAATGATTGATGAGGATAATAGCGCCGCAATAATGGCCAATAAATGTTTATACAGATTAAGAAATAATTCGAAATCTAACGCTTCGGGTAATCAAATTATACCATTATCCTGTCAATCACATATTCTTACATAAAATAAATCACTTTACATGGGTATGCAAGTGCTTATGCATCAACCGGTCTTAGAGTCATGTCTTTCAGAATAAATGACTCAGTGAAAATGGATTTAACGTAACTTCTCCTTGCAAGTCGACGTTTAATAAAAATAAAAAATATTTATAAGTGATTCGTACATTTTAGGGTAAAACTATGCCCATCCTTTCCATCATTATCATCAAATTATAATTTTCTCTTCCCTGACATAGAATCGAAGAACTCTCGAAGGAATATTTAGAACACTTGTGTGATCAAAGAGCGTAAAATGCCTTGTAATAATAACTTAACGACTAATACGAATAAAAACAGAAAACACAACGTTATCACAACAAAACTTGAAACTTTTCCGATATTGTGTTCTATGTATATTTGTTTAGTCGGGAATTCATTTAGATAATAAGTTGGAAATAAATTCTTTTTCTGATCTAGTCCGGTAGAACGGTTTGCTGGAGTTTTTCAAATGCCAAATTCGTACTCACATGCTTCTCTTCGTGCCTATTCAAATTTGAAAATCTGTTAAAGGGCGAAAGCTTGAGACAAGAAAAGCAAACGTTTTAAAGATAGTTTGCAATTTGATTTTTATTGGTTTAGTAGTAGTAGTAGTAGTAGTAGTAGTAGCCTTCAAGCTTCTAGAATATGGAAAATAATAATTTTTTGCTTGAAAAAATTTTTTTTTTTTTTTTTTTTTTTTTAATATCAGCGTCGGCAAGTGCGTAACAATCAATCTCATCCCGTCGTCTTACACGAATAGGGAATATCCCTTGAGTAATTAATTAGTCTTAGAAAAAAAAAGAATTTACTTGCCCGCCGAGAAGTTCGAGCCCACTATCTTGCCGGTTTCTTTTTAATTGCTTTAGCATAATTTAACAGGATATGTGTGAAAGTGTTTATGTTAATTTAACGGGCTTTGTGCTGTGCTACATTTTTTTTTTTTTTTTTTTTTTATTTTGTTATTATACGTGGAGCGTTTTGTTCTTTGAATATTTTATTTATAATTATGCAAAATTCAAATTTTCATCCACAAACAACGACATGTGTATGCATATATGTGATAAAAGAAGGTATTTATTCAAGATTGTTTATAAATTTGTAAGCGTGCATCGAAAACGGTACACGTGGCTTTAAAAGGGGGCTCTATTCATAAGTGCCGTAGCAGGGACGATGTTTCGAATAAAAAATAGATCAGTGTAGCTGCATCGAGGCGGCCCCTGACTAGACATGAGGATTGGAGCAATTCGAAGGAAGTCAAAAAATTAAACGATTATAATGACGATTTCAGTTACAGTTAAAATGAACTCGACTATCGAATGATAGAATTTGTTGCCATTTTCTCGGTCGTTTCGCAATACGTAAATTGTAATACGTGCAACTACAACGTGCAACCGTTCTCTTCGAAACACTATTTAGCAAAGCAACTGTCACAATTTTCATTCCTGTGATCAGGATTTTTATAATTCATATAAAGAAAATATTCTTTTCTTGTTGAATGTTATACGTTACAAAGAGGACAGACTTTTGTTTCTTTTTTTGCGAAAAGGAAGCGAGCTTTCTCGTTCCGATACTCGCCAATACCACGAAAACAAATATTTTACAAATATTCAAAGGGCTTCTCTCACTGTAGATATGTAAATGAAGTGAGACGTCATATTTGTATTCAGCGTAGCACGCCACAAAGTCCCTCAAATTGTAGGTGCCTCATGGGAATAGATACAGTATTGCCATTTTTCAATATTTTGAAAAAATTATTTGTTTTTTTTAATACTTAAATGTATGCTTAGTAGTAGTTTTCTCGAATATTATTATTCTGTCTATCATCTGTTACGGTGGCTTCGTTCCTTAAAAATAATTTTCATTTCCTATCACCCGTGGGGCGCTGTCATGTTTATATACAAATACGATCTTAGAATATACAATATATATAAGAGACGATTTACTATATTTATCGAGCTAACAGTTCGTTGCTCTCTCTTCCAATCAAATATTTATACATAAGATAAAAGCGATTATTATCGAATCTATGTTTCTACATCATTCACACGAACTTCAACGTCGATCGATATCAAGCTCAAGATACTTTGCTTGATGTTTTCTATAGGTTTTTGATATTCGTAGAGGAATGCTTGGTGTGGTATAAGGGGGAAAGACTCTGCTTTACTGCTCTGCTTTCAACGATTTATGCGATTAAAGGGCGGCGCAGCTGGAGTAAAGCGTCCAGCTTTGATCTATTGATCGCTGACACAATCGGTGGTATTGTCCTCAGTCAATTTATCACCTTTGGAATTTTGTAAAAATTGAAATTACATTCACTTATATATATCATCCGCAGTATTGCCCGCATCTTAGCTCGTTCCATCACTATTTTTTTCGCTCTCCTTTGAATTGAGGTAATCGTATGAATGATGAATTGAAAGAGACCTGTGAAAATCGTTTAATACGTGCATACGTCTGTCCACAAATGTTTCAGCAGTCGTGAACTAAACACAACTTTTTTATTTCTATATTTGCAACGTTGTCCACAATTACGTTTTTTTGTGTTTTTTTTCTTCTTTGCCACGCATTCTTCACTGCCATATCTAATATGTAACGCGTGACGGAAATTTGCCATCCTGCCGTCGTTGAGACAGAATATTCAAATCAGTACGAAGCACAGATTAAGTTTAAATATGAACTTCATTTCAGGGGTAAGATTACTAGCAAATTAAAACCACTTTACAAGCAAGGGAAAAAGTACTTGAACCTTAATAGCTTAACTGAATAAATTAGAAAAACAAAAACTATATTAGAAATTAGTTTCGTGTTGGCTGGAAATAATTTCAAGACTCCATAGAAAAATTAATCATTTTCATATATTGGCTTTAGATGGCACCGACCCGTTACTCGTGTCGATGCAATTATAACTTTATCACTTCATAATTGAAATGTCAAGAAAAAGTTGATCCAAAAATGTTTGCTTATCTTAATCAAATAAGAAGTTGTGCACGACGTAATATGCAAAACAAGTAAGAGCGCTACGATCGAGCTAGGGCGATCTTGTTACCCAAACTTAATTCGCTAGTCAATGATTTTATTATTTTCCATTTGCATTTATCATAACAAACCAAAATATGAGGCTTTGTTAGCAGCGTAGAAGGCATTGCTTCCATGGGAGCCCCTATATATGGTGTAGTCTAAAAAAAAAAAAAAAGACTTATGTAATCTAAATTCCCTGTGATTTGAGATCCTAAGGACGAAAAATTTTCATCATAAAATATTAAAAATTTATACCGTTTTGACATCTAAAGTCTTCATTTTCATTGGAACTTTTATATATGTTGGGATCTACGAAGTAGACCTATGTGATCCAAATTCGGTGAGGTGAAGTTTTATACCAATTTATTACTATGAAGGAACAAGATTTTTCGAAAATTAGATCTTTTTCCCAAATAAAAATTTAATTTCCGTAGGAAGGCAAGAGATACAAAAAATTGTCCCATCTGATCCAAAAGTTTTCACACTACTACTCAGCGATTTTTTTGGGGAATTCTGAACATTACAATACATATTTTCTTATAACGACTTTCCAAAATGAGGCATTAGATGGGGAGTGATCGAAAAATTAGTCCGATCCCAATCATTTGCATCAGCTTTCGTTCTTGCGACAGAGCACATCAGTGTACCAAATTTGATCAAAATATCTTGAAAATTGCTATCACAATTGCTGGTTGAACACAAAAATCTATGGACAGACGGACAGACAAACTCAAATTCAGATTCAGAATCATTTTTTGCTTCGATTGGTCTTATAAAAAGTGGGTCATATGTCAGGTCCTTCTGGGTTATGCACACATCTCCGCACAAATTTAATATACCCTGCACCACAATACGTGTAATAATAGGTGTATAAAAATGTAATTTTTCTTCAAATTTTTCATAATGTCTCACACGAACGCACATGAATGTCTGCACATGTTATGCATTGTTTGCTTACCACGTTTGCATGCAACGATAAATATAAATTTTTAAAAGAATTTGTAAAGGGTCTGTCTTTTTTTCTTTTTTTTTTTTTGATCACGTTTCGCCTAATTTGTTTTACCTTGAGAAATAAGGACTGCACATAAAAAAAATCGTATAAAACAGTTGTTTACCCTTAAGCAGAAAACAAAAGAAAGACATTATGTTGGCTTGGTATGACTCTACTAACGCTTACGGCTACCATGTGTATGTAAGATTGTAGGAATTGCAAGATATATTTTATTATATTTTTTTTTTCGCAATGAATCGATTTAGATAGTTTTTCAACACAACTTGATTGAAAACGGTGTAAAGGGAAGAGAAAAGATTTTGATGTCACATTTGTTCCTCTAAGCGAAGACATGCTTGCTACGAACGAACTAACGATAGCCGGACAGATCTTTGTGTCATCATTCGTTTCTTCTCTGAGCATTAATTAGGAATTT